GAAAGTTAACAACCGGTTCTCCCAAAGTGGTGCGAACTGGCTGAATCCCACCACTGGATATGAGGCAAAACATATTATGAATGAAAATGAATGACACAATTGATTGAAGTATGTAAGGGATTCTGATACACACACACACACATTCCCTTTTCCCCTCGGTGGGTGTCATGTGTCTTCTTCATTCTTGGGTTAATTGCCAGAGGCAGAGAGTTTGAGGGTTCTGCACAGTATCAGCTGTTCTTTGCACTGCTCTCTTCTGGACAGAAGGCTCTGATGCTATTCCTGAGTCTGCTAGAGCCGCTCTTCCAGTTTAGGAGTCATAGCCTCAAATGGTCCCACAACCACTGGGACCACATTTATATTCCACATTGTCCCTAGTTCCTCCTTCAGGCCCTGGTACTTCTCCAGCTTCTCATATTCCTTCTATCGGTACCTAATGTTGCTGTCACTTGGCACTACTACATCTATCACCACTGCTGTCTTTCCGTCCTTGTCTACTATCACAATGTCTGGTTCACTGGCCAATACCTGTCTGTCTTTCTTTCTTTCTTTCTTTCTTTCTTTCTTTCTTTCTTTCTTTCTTTCTTTCTTTCTTTCTTTCTTTTTCTTTCTTTCTCTCTCTCTCTCTCTTTCTTTTTTTCCTTACCTGTATTTATTGGCATGATACCATGCATATATATGAGTTTGATGTAATGGTTAAGGCATCAGGTTAGAACTGTGACTTGTCGTCCCACCTTAGGTACAAAGCCTGCTAGATGAACTTGGGGCAATCACTTTCTCTCAGACTTAGGCAATACAGAATACAGAATAACAGAGTTGGAAGGGATTTTGGAGATCTTCTAGTTCAACCCCCTGCTCAAGCAGGAGATCCTATATCATTTTAGATAAATGGCTGTCCAATCTCTTCTTAAAAATTTCCAGTGATGGCAAACCACTTCTGAAAAGCCTTGTCAAGAAAACCTCAATCAATAGAGATTCTCAGTCATCCAGGTCATGGTTGTCCCAAAGGTTCTTTTTCAGGAGGTTCTGGACTGTCTTGTTTTTTTCTTCGAAGACGTTTTGCTTCTCATCCAAGAAGTTGCTTCAGCTCTGACAGAATAGTAGAGAATAGAAGGATTTATATTCCTTGCAGACAGCTGGTAATCTGCATCCTTTTAGAGGGTCTTTGAAACACTTGGAGGTTTATCCGTGTCCTCAGAGTCACCTGAGTAGTGCTCCTGGTTCCTGTAGTTCGCAATTTTTCTCTGGAAATCATCCATTCCTACTGCCACACCATTCAAAGGGTGTTCATCCCAAATTGTATAGCTAAAAGTCTGTAGTCATCTACATCTCAGTCATCCAGGTCGTGGTTGTCCCAAAGGTGCTTTTTCAGGAGGCAACTGGACTTTGTTTTTTGTTTTGAAAATGTTTTGCAGATTACCAGCTGTCTGCAAGGAATATAAATCCTTCCATTTCCCACTATCCTGTCAGAGCTGAAGCTTATTGGATGAGAAGTGAAACATCTTCAAAAGAAAAAACAAGAAAGTAGTGGTTAAGGCACCAGGCTAGAAAATAGAAAATCATGAGTTCTACTCCAACCTTAGGCACAGCTGGGTGATTTTAGACAATTCATTTTCTCTGAGCTCAAGAAAGAAGGCAATGGCAAATCACTTCCAAAAATCTTGCCAAGGATACTGCAGACACTAGGCAGTTGCTAGGAGTTAAGACTCATTGAAAGGCATTCACACACTCACACACACACGCATACAAGAAAAAACTTTGAAAAAGTTTTCCTTTCTTCACCCTTGTTGGTAGGATTCTATCTCCCCTTCTCTGAACCCCGTAATATTGAAGCAGTAATAGTATGGGACTGTCCAGGAATTAGCACTTTCATAGGTAGCAATACAGCTTTGTTGAAAAGACAGCAGAGCTTCTTGTATGTTCTTTGGAGTGCCGAGTCTACTGGTAGTCTGCAGATAATGTGCTACTCTACACTAGAATAGTGTACAGAGTCCTCAGGTTATGACAGCAATTGGGGCCAAGAATTCCATTATTAAGTGAGGTAGTCATAAAGTATAACATATGTCCATATTGCTAAGTTCCAGTTGCTATTGTAAAATTAGGACTACATTGGTCATTAAGTAAGGACCTTATATGATCACAACTTCTGACTTCCTGCCAGCTTCCCCATTGATTTGTTTGTGGGAAGTTGGTAGGGAATGTTGAAAACGGGGACACTATAACAGTCAAAACAGTGAGGATTCGTCATAAGTCAGCTCCATTCAGAGCCATTGTAACTTTGAATGGTCACTGAATAAAAAAATTGATTGTTACCTAAAGACTACTTGTAAGTGGGATATACCGTAATCTAACACAAGTATTCCCATGGTCAAAGCTTTATGAATGCATGCTACAGGAGAACAAATCTCTCATGTTTTCTAGTTCAGGTAACAGAGTTTGGCATAAGATCTCCAAGACACTAATCAAGGTCAGGTTTATGTTATACTAGACACTCTCACGTTCCTCAATGGGTAAACAAGAACTTCAGAGAATACAGTAACACTAGTAGGGGCAAAACAAATAATCTAGTTCTGATACATTTATTCAGTTTTCCACTGCATGCCCTCACAATTGAGAAGTGTTAACTTAGATTCAACCATTCACTTTCCCAGGGCTATGTATGTGACTCAGTGACTCTTCTGCATGATATGAAACATAAACATAAACCAAATGCAGATGGATTTTCCTTTGTTCAGAGGTAGGTGAGATATTGTACACAGCCTTTCCCATCACAAAATCTAGCAGGATAGTGGAATTACAAAAGAAACCTAATGAAGAGCCTTTCCACTAATTATGCAACCGTAGTTGAACAGATATATGTAATTCCTGAAAATGCTGATCGGCTGTCACAGTGGTGCCAAACAACCTGGAATTACAGATGCTTCTATGAAAGTCCAGAATGACAAGTGAGACTGTAAAATCTAGCTGGTTGAAATAACATCAGAAAATCATGGTTCCGAGGAATTTTAAACTAGAAAAAACAATAAAACAACAGAAGAACAGTAGAACAAGAGCAGTCTTGTTGACTAACTAAGCAATGGATGGAAATGTTCAAATCTCACCTCCGTCATGAACCTATAAAGAAAGACACACCTTCTCTACCATCACCTGTACCCATATAGGGAATCATTATCATCTGCCCCATTGAAAAAACCCATGGCAATGCATGTGCTCAATGCAGAGATGCTAAGAATAATTGTTACCAAATGGTAAAAACTTAGTTGCACATTGGTGAAGAATTAATTGATCCATTCTATCATTTCAACTAAAGAATCAGTTTATCAGTCAGTTAAATGTCAATAGAACTATTCATAGAGTATTCCCAAAAAAATTTAAAAATGTTTATTTATTCTATTATCTGCTATTCAGCACCACATCAGTCTGTATGGTTTCTCTAGCTAAGGTTAGACAAAAATAAGTCCTGCTGATCTAAGGCCAAGAAAACCTGAAAAATTGCAGCTTGCTCAAAAATACTCAACTTAATGACATTGATAGAGGACAGACTAATTATCTCTTTCCATGTCGAGCTGGAAGAGATTACTAGGCTATTAGGTGAGGACTAGTAACAGCACTAGTAGATGCTTCAACCCACTAAATTCTTTTCTTCCTCCCCACTCTACTAGTCAAGGTAGCATGGGGGACAGCTAGGAAGAATGGAGCATAAACTATTGTTTGGAGGAAAGATTCATTATTGACACTCTGGAAAGATATTATTAATATTTGGTTTCATTAACTGCTCAAGCCTAAACATGTGTTCTTAATAGGCCCACTGAATTCAGCTAAGCATATTTCTAGCAGAAAGTGAGTACAAGAATGCAATCTAAATATTACAGCCTTCTAAAAGCATGCATTAGATCACAAGCTGAATGAAGGTCAGTTTGGTAATATATGCAGTTTGGCTACAATCCCAGTGAGATGTGCATACAGGTCCTTCAATTGTAGGAACCCAAGCCAAATTCTAGCTTTTCCATTTAACATTTAGGCCAGTAGTTCCTTAGGTCACTGGAGGAAGTTCCATAGCTGGGGATAATGTAGAAGTCAGTAATGTGAAAAGCAAACTTCAGGCCAGTCCAGGTGATTAGTGGTCACATTTGTACAACATGCCAAACCATGGTTAATTAAAACACAGTTTATTCAGCCCCATTCCCTAGGTACTTTTAATTTACTGAACCCTCACAGGATGGAGGTCACACAACATGCTAAGTTAAAATATGGTTAGCCAGTTGGTGATTAAACTATTAGGCAAATTCAATGAATCAGTTGGAAACTTCAAAGGCCACTTATTTCCTGATGTTCTTCAGTAAGACATGTTTCAACCTCCCGGGAATATTTCTGTGAAAAAAAGCACATTATTGGGGCCGGTGAGGGAGCAGGCAAGTGCACAGCTCATTCCAATGGGGCTGGCATAGGAGAACTTCGGGGAAAGGAAAGGAAGAACTGGCGAGCCCGCTCGGCCATCCGAGTTGCCTGCAGCCTACAAGTGAAGGCTCCCGCAATGTCCATTCCCTGTCTGCAGACCGGAGTCACAGAATGGCACCTGCCAGGTAAGGTGGCGGAGGAGGAAAGAACCCGAGGACCACCCCAAAGACTATGGAGGTAGGGACAGCTCTCCCCACCCCTTCACGTTTGGGAAAGGGCAACGATCCCGCAAATGACGCCCCCCACATTTGAACCCAACCCACAAATCCGAGCATCAGGATTCCTTTCATCCGAAGGACAGAAAGGGGGATGCCAGAGAGCGCGGCCCTTCACGAGGGAAGCCCCTAGGCAGGACACCCGATCACCGAACCCACAGGCACGTATGGCCGCAGCAAAGCACCTCCACGCCGCCCGGGCGGCTGGTTGCTTTCTCCCCAACGCCGCGTCGCGGCTCCTTTCGCAGCTGCCGGAGTCCCTTCTTCGCCCCCTCCCCTCCCCGCTCCGCGACCCCGCAGGTTCACTCCCCCCTTCTTCTCACTCACCGGCTGCGGCGTCTGAGCGGCCAGCCCGCTGGCCTGCCCGGGCGCACGAGAGCAGCAGGAGCCCCAGCAGCGAGGCCAGGAGGCACAGCTGCCCCGCGCGCAGCCCCTTCTTGCGCCGCCAAGCCTGGCCCCTCTTCGGCGGCAGCATCTCAACGGACGGCGCGGTGCAGAGCGCCACGAAGGATGCCGGCGGCAGCTCCCGGACCGAAGCAAGACGCGCCCGGGCAGCCCTCTCGGCCGTCAGGAGCGAGCCGAGCCGAGCCGAGCCGAACCTCCTTCGCCGCTCACGCCGAGCCGCTTCCGAGTGCTGTTGCCCGGAGGGCGCGCGGCTGCTCGGCGAGGGCGAGGCGCTGCGCCATAGGCAGGGCTCCCCGGCTGGCGGCTGCTAAGCTTAGCGCTCTAGCCGGCCTGGCAGCGGCGGAGATCCGTCGATCGGGGGGCCCCTCTCGCCGATCGACTCCGCCCCCTCCTCGAGGCTGGGGGCGGGGTCGTTTTCGGGACCGTCCCGCCTGCTGTCGCCGCCTCTTCCAGCGAATCCCGTTCTTGGGGGAACCGGTGGACCGGCGGGGGAGCCCACGCCCCGTTGCCGCCGCCAGAGCCCGCTTCAATCCCCCTAATGGTCCAGTCTGGAAAGCTTCGCGTGGCAAGCGACTCCGGTCTCTACGCAAAGCCCAGTGGGGACCAAAGGAGGTTTGGGCAAATTCTCCATGGCTCCAGCCAGTAAATAGGGCGCGGTTTCATTTGTCTCCGGGTTTCGCTTCAACGTCTGCTGAAGGCAGCAAAAAGTAACCCTGACCATGTACAGAGTACGTGACCTCGTTCATTGAAGGATGGCACTTGTTAGGTGGCTTGGTTTTTTTTACCGACATCTGTTGAGAGAGGTAGTTGAATATGTGAATTCAACTGACATGGAAGAAAAAATCCGACCGAGAAAAAAAAAAGCTGAATTAAGACGTGAATGGTGGTAAGGATGATGGCATCCTGTCTGCAGTGTTAGGTCATAGCTCATTTCTACATAAGAGTCATCAGACAATCATCTCAAATCATCTTGCCTGAACCAACTCTAAGGTAGGATGCCTGGTCCCTAAACAATTGTGATAAACCTGGCTTCCAAAGAAGGAAGAATTCTGCTCCTACCTTTTCCCTGTTTTAGAAAAGGATTGTGGTTTCCTTTTGCATATCAACCCCAATAATTCTATCCCTCTTCCCAGGTGTTTTTTTTTTGTTTTTTGTTTTTTTTTGCTTTTTAAGCAATTTAGTCACCTAATTGTAGTAAAGATTCTTGGGATTATTTGACAACTCTACTTTGGCCTGACAAAGTTCTTGCTTTAATATGTATTTGTGATTAAAAAGTGAGGATGTTGTTTTCATTTTATTGCCTCATTCAGCTTGCATAAGCAACACAAGCAGTGAGGTGAGATCACCAGCAGCATGTGAAATCCAAGAGGAATGCCTGGGAATCCTTTGCTGTGTCACAGAGAATACCAGAAGCACCACTTCTAGAATGCACACAGATCTTACTCCGTGACATTATTTTTGTGCCGCTGTAAGGGAAAGTCAGGCTGGAGGGTGTGAGATAGGGGCTTCCTCTCTGTTTGTCTGCCCAAATGGCTTGATCTGATCCATCTGCAATGAAAGATGACCAGAAATCCCTTGGGAATATAACAGACATTTATGGTTGAATGGCACAGATAGTGACACAAAGATGACTACTAGCTATAAAACTGAAATTTGTTTCATTTGAAATAATTGGCAACAACAGAATTATCTTTCCCCTGACAAAGTTGGTGGCAACTGACCAGAAAGGAGTAGGGGGAGAGATTTCTATTATCAAAAAAAATTGAGGTATAGCAGTAAATTGCTGTAATTATTTACAAACATACAAAAGCTTTAAGATTATTCCTTCAACTTTTTCTAAATATTTAAAAGCACATTTCTTCTCAGAGGCTCTCCATAATGAAAATACATCATTAAAAACCAGGCTTTGCCCACATATGGTTAAAACATGTCTTCAGAATTTTCAGGATTACACTTAACATGAATAAATGACATGGAATCACTATCGAGAGCCAACTATCTGACATTAAAATAATCATTCAAAGATAATTGGTAGAATAATCTTTCCCTGGATGGAACAGAGACCAGATCCATGCAGATGGAATAATTGCCAGAACACATAGGTTCTCAGCCTGCGAAAATGAAAGTATTTTTTTTAAAGAAAAAACAAAAGTGACAGAAAAATTACAAAAATGCATTCAGTGTGACTGGAAATATTGCCAGTGACCTTCCATCAGAGACTTTTTGCTATTGCAAAATAGCTCCCCAAAAGAACCAATGGACTCTCAAAGAGAGACACCTCTGCCTGTACCTTTGCATCACAAAAACATGTCAATAAAAAGGTTTTTAGTTCCCCTGTGTCAGTATTCAAGCCTGCAGTAATCCTGCTGTGTCAGTGCCAGGCATCCCTAATCATAGGCTTTTAAGTAATGGTATTTCAAATTGGAAACATTGCAATTTTAGTTCTCAGCAGCCATTCCAATCTTGCCAGAAGTGCTCCAGGGTTGTACCAACAACTGTCTGGGCAAGTAAGGTCAAAATGCCCTATTTTCAAATCAGAAATGTTTTGTGTGTTCTACTTTTAAGTTCCCTTCTGCATTGAAAATTCCTGATACAGGTACTCAATTTACAACCACAGTTGAGACCAGAATTTTTGTTGCCAAGCAAGGGCACTTAAATGAGTTGCACCCAATGATTGTTAAGAGAATAACTGCAGTTGTTAAGTGACTCATGCAGTCGTTAAACAAATCTGGCTTTCTACCACTGATTTTGCTTGTCAGAAACCCTTTGGAAAGGTGGCAAATGGTGATCACATGAGCCAGGGATGCTGCAACTGTCAAATACATGCTGGTTGCCATGCACACAATTTTGACCACATGACCGCTGCAACAGTCGTAAGTGTGAAGACTGGTTATAATTAATTTTTTAGTTATGATGTAACTTCACACAGTCATTAAACAAATACTTGTAAGTCAAGGACTACCTGTATGTGATGAAATCTGCCAACATAAAGATTTTCCTGTACCTTTAAATGGTTGTACACTACCAATAACTACAGTATCCTTAAGGATAAATTACCTAAGTTAGTTATTAGATAGACTGCATGCCTCCTTGGATAGGTGATTTCAAAAGCTGGTGCAGTATGACAATTGCTCCATAGTATGGCAATTGTACTGTAAAGTTGCACAGGACTCTTTTTTTTTATCATTTCTGATGTGTAACATTTTCAATGAAGCTATTTCAAGAGAAATCCAAGATATGAAATTAAAATGGGACTGACAGCCATCTCTCTTCTCCTCCTTTTCCTCAAACTCATGTGAGGCAGAAGATGTTCTGATCAGTGAGTGCAGCAATGAACTAGCTGAAGCTCCATAAGTCTAAAATACTGTTGGTATATAGTTCATCTGCCCAGTTTTTTGTTTTTGTTTTAATTTTGATTTATATGCCGCCCTTCTCCGGAGACTCAGGGCGGCTTACAATGCGCTAAGCAATAGCCTTCATACGTTTGTATATATTTATACAAAGTCAGCTTATTGCCCCCACAACTGGGTCCTCAATTTACCTACCTTAGAAAGGATGGAAGGCTGAGTCAACCTTGAGCCTTGGCGAGATTCGAACCTGCAGTAATTGCAGGCAGCTGGTCTTAATAACCAGCTTAATAACAGGGTGCCTTAGACCACTGTACTACCAAGGCTCTTGGTAGTACCAAGTTGTGTGCACTAAAGCTGCTCTGAAAGCCTTTTTACTGGGCATGTGCTTTTGATTCTCAGAAAAGCTCAAATCTACTATGGGTTAATGCAATTCAGAATAGATATTTATTAAGATGATTGAAAGATCTTACTTATTTCTGACCCTGTTCAAGATCCTCCATGAAGCATACAGTAAGTCTTTTGATGCTGCCCTGGAAATCTGTCATGCTACAATTTGCTACCATGGCTGCCACATCAAAAATTAAATCAAAAAGCAGGGAGGGAGAATTGAAAAAACAACTGATGGTTGCTTATGAAAAACATCTTGATTGAGGATGGGTAGGAAAGAGGAATATGGGATTCTGTGATTCTGTGATTAATAAGCTTGTCTGCAACTGAGAATGCCTTTGTTATCAGACCACTATTGGTCACTCCTTTCCAAGCTTTTGGGACAAGACATTTTAGCACTGAATGGAAATCTAAGTGGCTGGCCAACTACACTGAGGGGGGTAAAGAGCAGGATATTTCTATAACATTGTTCTCAAAAAGAGCTTTGAGGAGGTTGCAGAACTGACCTCAACAAGCACTTGCTAATAGGAGGAGATGAAGAGCAAAACTGTATTCGTCCTCATGCTGAATCCGACCTGGGAGTGCAGTCTTGCTTGGGAAGCCCCAGAGTTGTTATACTGTAATCAGAAAAGTGGCAGAGAGAAGATCAAGATATATTTTAAAGAAAGTAACAACAATTTCTCTTTCCTTACACAAACAGACAGCTTATTCTCACTCTCGCTAGATATTTAGAGCCATAATTGATCATCCTGTGGGAATGCTTTCCATAAATTTAAGCTTTCTCTGAACTGAGGTGGCTGTCATGAAAACAGCTGTGGCTGCATTGTAGTCACTGGATCTTGACCATTTTCTTGGTTATTCCCAAAGGGCTTATTAGCATTATTGTTGTTCTGTAAGACGAATTCTCCCAGCAACAATAGAATTCTGTTTTCTTGAATTAAATCCAGAGTTGGAAACAAGTTGGAGCGGTTTATTTCCCAACTAATTGGGGACAGGAAGGATTGGGGTTGGAGCTCAAATCTGGCCAATAACTCAGCACAGCCTAGTTTATATTTTAAGTTTAATGTGGGACTATCTTTGAAAAATTGAAAAAGAAAAGTTAAACTTATTTCAAATTCAGCAAATCTCAAATAAGGTATCAAGATATCAATAGAACTGACTTAACTTATCATATTATATTTATGTTCTACTCCACTGGCTGTTTCTGGCACAAATTCATAAGAGGGAGATAAATGATTAAGAAATAGGAAATATAAATAAATAATAAAATAACATCATTAACTTATAAAACTGTCGGAATATACAGATCACTTTATCTCACTGATTAACAAGCTATGTCTGAAAACTATCAGAGGCAAGAAAGCTCTTGAAAAAAAATAAAATCTTTGTCAAATGAGATCCCCAACTAAAACATGCTCTTTGACAAAATAAATGCAAGTAGTCAATAAATGATTAAAAAAAACAAAAAAAAATTGAGTAGCAGATGGCAAAAATTGGTAAGGGAAAAAAAAGATAACTATACTCAAAGCAGTAAACAAACAAAATTGCAAAATTATTATGGGTGGGCTAAAGGAGATTAGGGAAATTGCAGAGAAACTGAATGTAGTCTTTACTTCTACTGAGGACATAGAAGAGATGCTGTATTTAGGAAATCAGGTGAATTACAGTAGAGGAAGGCAATGCTTGGATGTAAGTTCAATTGACAAGTTAAAAATAAACTAATATCTAGAATCAGATAATCTTCACTGTCAGATTCCTAAATAACTCAAATATGAAATTGTTGGTTTTCTGAAAAAATACTCAATTTGTCTGCAAAACTGGCATCTTTTCCTGAAGACTAGAAAATGCCCAATGTATCTCCTTAAAAATGAATTGGGAGAGGGATACAAAAGAGTATAGGCCAATTAATTAAAATGGCTGAAAGTGTTATTAAAGGTTAAATAACAAAAGAAATAGAAAAGCTTGGCTCAGCAAGGCTCTATGTTTTTCTAATGTTTCAAATTTTTAATTCCCTGGAGTAAAGTATAGTAGATTACAGCTATTCCTCAAT